AGTAGTAGCAGTAGTAATGGTACCCAGAGTAGTAGTAGTAGTAGTAGTAGTAGTAGTAATGGTAGTAGTAGTAGTAGTAGTAGTAGTAGTAATGGTAGTAGTAGTAGTAGTAGTAGTAGTAGTAGTAGCAGTAGTAGTAGTAGTAGCAGTAGTAGCAGTAGTAGTAATGGTACCCAGAGTAGTAGTAGTTTTTGTCGAAGTTTTATCCTTGGTGTGAAATTAAAAATGGGAGCCGACGTTTATTTTGAAATGTGTTATCGGAAACGCTGGTAGCTTCCGGTGCTTTCAGCAGCTCGTAGTGGAGGGAAGCAGTTAGCCTGTTAGCTCAGTTAGCTCAGTTAGCTCAGTTAGCCTGTTAGACTGTTAGCTCCGATAGTTTTCTGTAGTCCTTCGCGCCCTCGGCTGTTCCCGTCATGGCGTACCAGCTGTACCGGAACACCACCCTGGGAAACAGCCTGCAGGAGAGTCTGGACGAGCTCATCCAGGTGACTCACACCCGCCGCGAGCCCCGCAGCTAGCCCGCGTTAGCTCCCTGCTAACGGCCACTCCTAGCCCGGTTAGCTCCCAGCGGGCTAGCTGAGTGTTGTTTTGGCTCCTGGACGGATCCTCTCTCGTGTTTCTGAGTTTACTGTGGAGATGAGGAGGAGGAGCTGCAGCTCAACTCAGATCAGAGTGTTAGCGTGAACCCAGGAGCGCGTGAATCCACCAGATCTGGATGTAACTTCGGCGTCATGGTTTTTCTCTCGCTCAGCCTCGTGAATCAGGTGGAAACGATCCCACACCTCCGCCGAGAGCACGTGCGGGTTTATATCAAGCTCAGAGAGTGAAGGTGTTCACGGCTCCGACCTCCGGGTCACTGAGAGAGAGGGGGTCGGTGGTCCAGGTCTCTTCAAGAACACAACACGTTTGTTTGGATCTGTGCCAACATGTGTTGAGTTGTGTTTTGACTCGTGACTCGTTCTTCCATCAAGAGTCTCAACAGTGTTTATGTTTTCCTGCTGACAAACAAACAAACCAACCAACAAACAAACAAACAGCTTCATCTCAAACCTCTGAACACCTGATGTGATGATGGTTTGGGACTGTGTGGTTTGGATTGAGCTGAAGTGTTAATCTCTCTCCCTCTCTCTCTCTCCCTCCCTCTCTCTCTCTCTCTCCCCCTCTCTCTCTCTCTCTCCCTCCCTCCCTCTCTCTCTCCAGACCCAGCAGATCACCCCTCAGCTGGCTCTTCAGGTCCTCCTTCAGTTCGACAAAGCCATCAACACGGCGCTCGCCAGCAGAGTCCGCAACCGGGTCAACTTCAGGGTGAGTCCGTCCTCTTCGTCGAAAAAAGCTTTTCACCATCGCGGTTCCTCGTCCGTAGTATTTCTTGTAACTAAGCAGAGTAGACGGTCTCCTCCCTGTTTACGCCACATGACCAGTGAAGGTGAAAGGTCACATGTTTTCAGGCGTGTCAGTGTGGATGTGGTTTATTGTGGACACGGAGCTACAACACTACGCGGACGTTGTTTTATTTTTGTAACGTATCAGTGTGTCGTGGTTGAGCTGTGGTGTGTCTCCCCCTGCAGGGCTCTCTGAACACCTACAGGTTCTGCGACAACGTGTGGACGTTTGTTCTGAACGACGTGGAGTTCAGAGAGGTCACCGACCTGGTGAAGGTCGACAAGGTCAAGATCGTTGCCTGTGACGGAAAGAGTGAGTCGACCCAGAACAAGAGTGATAAATGAGTAAGTGTAAAAGACACACACACACACACACACACACACTCCTGTGAGTTCGTAGTTTTAATAATGAATAGTTTTTGCCAGTAACACTCACCTGTATTTAAAAGTTAAACCTTGATCGATATGAAATATTTCAGGTTTTCAACATGAATTCGTGTTTATCGACTTTATGTATCATTAGTTAATATAAATTTTATTTGAATGTGTTTATCTCTGCAGACTGGGGCTCGAGTGCTGCAGAGTGACGACTCTTCATGTGTCGGCTGGAGCCACAGACGGACCTGGACTGTACATATAATTTATTACAGCAGAGTCAGAGCTGAGTGTGTGTGAATGTGTGTGAGTGTGTGTGTCTGAGTGTGTGAGTGTGTTTGTGCGGTGTGTGTGTGTCAGAGTGGACCAGTCACTGTTTGTTTTTATTTTCAGTTTACAGGAGTTTGTTCAGTTGCTGTTATAATTGAGCTCAATCATCTTTAATAAAAACTTTATTTAAAACACGGAGGCTGATGATTTACTTAAGATTCTTCCAGTAAATGAAATAATGATGATGTGAGATTTATTTTGTCTGTTGGTTGATTGATGTGTAATTATTTTGATCATCAAATCATTTACCTCTTCTCATGTTTGAGTTTCACAACATGATGACTGACAGCGTCTGCTGATCACACGCTACTTTTATGATGCATTCTGGGATGCAGTGTCCGCTACAGTTGTCCCTCGACTTTCAGAAAACACCGGAGCAGACGGAAGGTTTTTCATCTCGTTTATTAAAAGAACGTCAGGATTTCACATGTATAAAAGAGTGCAACTTAAAAACGATACGATTACATTGATCAACATTTCCATAAAGCTACAACACGTAGAAGATAAATACAACTTTTCTCTTTTTACTGCAAATGAACCGGGTTCTGTATCGATGACGCCTTCTGAAGACTTCAGGAATAATCACTGGATATATGGACCCGGTAAATATCTGTGGATACACACCAGGATAAAGTAGATATGAAATATAAAGGAATATATCTGTTTTGTGATGAAACGTGTGGATCAATACTGCATGAAGGTGGACATGGCTTCTGCTTTCAAACAAAGAGCTGAAGAGGAATGAAAAGACGAACGGTTGATATTTACGGTGACGTGTACGAAAATCACGGTGGAGACACCAAGGACGTTAACGAGACCGATGTGATGAAATGTTTGACCAGTCGAACGCCACGTGACGTTGAACTTCAAACCGCTGTGACGTCGACCGCTGCTGTGTGAGCTGCCGTTCGAAGACTTGAGTTTGGCATTTTGTCTAGCACCATCTTGGCATGTTGGGGCCCAGGTTAATCTGGACATGTGGACAGTTCAGGCTTCATCCGTCCAAAGACATTTCCAAACTAAACCAGTCTCTGTCCACACAAGTGTCTCGGCTCTGCTACGACTTGAATCCCCGTCTGCACTAACGTACACTGGGCGGACAAGAGACGGTGAAACAGGAATTATTTGGTTGTTAGTTGCAGGAATCTCAGGTTTAATCTCAAATAACATCTCGTCTCCTCCACGTGTACAAATTAGTGTCATTGAAAAATACAGGATTTAACTTCACAACAGCTGTTAGCAAAGACAACAGGGTCAGTAACCCCTGATTCTCCGTGTTCCACTCTGGTAGCTGAGGCTGATGCTGGTTGTCATGTGACAGGAGACGAATCAGCCACGGCAACATCATGACAGAAAAAGATCCAATCAGCAAGAGGCTGTGAGCGTCTACATCATCGCTTCCAAACAGTTCTGTCTCTGTTCATCCAACATAGCCCCGTAGTTTTCTAACTAAGACGAGACCAACGGCATTTCCAAACTTCTCAGAGTCGTGTGGACACAGTTGATGTGTTTGTGGGACGTGTCTACGTGTCGTCCACCTTCGTTTGCATATTTACTATTATTATTTATTTCTCTGATCCTGACACAGACGCTGGTTTTGTTCAGAAAACCTGAGGAGAGTCGGTCGGATGCAAAAACACTCTCAGCTGCCTCAGGGTCAAAGGTCACATCATAGCTGCCGAAAATCTTTTCAGTAAAACAGGAAACGGGTTCATCTACAAACTACACATTCAAGAATAAGAAGACACTTTTAGCAAATGTAGAAAGAGTATAAAAAGAATCTGGATTCAGATGTAAGAAAGTCCCACTGCTCCTCCTCCGTTCAGTCCAGGAAGCGTTGGCAGGCTTTCTTCCAGCGACAGGCCGTGCACCACTGATCTCTGTGCTCGATGCCGTAAACTTTACGACACTTCTTGGCTTCACCACGAATCCTCCTACACACAGATTGATCATCACTGTTAACACCATTAAGTGCGTCTCTGCCTTCTATCCCGACGCTCTACAGAGTAAAACATATTTCATGCTCTATTCTGAGATTTTGGACGGATCTGCATTTTTCTTTCAGACTAGTGAAACATTTTTTTTTTCCTATTTGAGTCTTTAGATTTAAATCACAGTTTGTTTTGATCCTCTGAGTCACACATCTCCACGTCCAGATTCATTCCTTCACAACCTTTAAAGAGACGGAGCCGTCCACAGAAACATCAGGAGGCAGCATGTGTACTGACCTGCAGGGGGCGCTCTGGTGCTGCAGCCACTGCTCTCCTACGCTGACCGAACGCTCCCGAAACGGCAAACCCTGAGAGAGGAGGAGTCAGTGTTAACGTGGGGGAGGAAACAACCTTCGTCCATGAAATCGTTTGTTTGTTTGTTGATGAACGATTGAGTTTCACAGTTTAAGCTTCCGACTGAAACGCTGAAGAATCTCTAACGTGCAAACGCTCCGTTCTGTTCGCTGATAAACATGATTGACAGGTTACCTGTCTGCTGTGGCAGGTGGAGGGCGGGGCTGTCCAACGACAGGAAGTCATGCTGGAGGCTACCTCTGAAACCACATGACCGGGAGGTGGAGCCTAAAGAACCAATCAAACGTTAGAGTTCAGTGTCAGAAAACACAAATTGTTAATCGGCTGTTTATCCGTATTTTCCAACAGTATAAGGAAAAAAATCTTTGGATTAAAAACAAACTGCTGTTACGTTACAAATTAAATTTATCTTATTAAAATATACATCGTACATTAACTGTCAATCACTGCTGATAAGCCCCGCCATACCTGGTAGGAGTGCTCTGATTGGACCTGCCAGATGCTGCCGGAGGAGGAAGGGGCGGAGCGACTCAGAGCGTCGTTGGTCGAGGAGGGGGGAGATGGAGGGGCAGGGCTGACGGGCGAGGAGGGGGAGGCAGGTGAGGTGGTGGGTGAGGAGGGGGCGGGGCCACAGAGGGGAGGTTGGGGAGGAGACTGACACTGGGCGACCTCAGTGTAGTAAAAATCCTCCTCGCTGCGAGAACAGCGCTCGTGTTCGCCGCTGCGGCTGTGAGAGGGCAGAGGTCAAAGGTCAGAGACGTTCATCGGGTCGTAACTTAAACTTCGTCTCTAGAGTCGAGATCGTACAAACATTCAAAATGGCGGACTCAAAAATACGATTGAGGAGAAAAGGAAGAAGAGCAGATGATGAAGATGAAAATAAATAAATATGTTGTGAACATTAATAAACTACTCGACATTTTTATTGGTTATTTTTCCTTCAACGTTTTGGCAAAAATGAGCTTCAACAGAAAAAGCTCTTACCACAGGTGTGTTGTCCTGATGTGGCGTTTGATTCCCACCACTGTCGTCAGCACCTTCCCGCAGGTCGGCCACAGACACCTGTACGCCACCTTCACAGAGTTCTGCAGGAGGAAACGCATCATCAGCACTTGACCTTGTCACCGCCGCATGTCATTACCGTAAACGCCCTCTCACCCTGCGTTTCCGCGGCGCCGGCTCGTCAAACAACACCTGCTCCAGCTCCATCTCCAGCCCCTCGTCAGGGGGCGTGACCGGGCTGGCGTCGGGCTCCGTGATTGGTGGAGAGGGTGCCGGGCTTCCGTTGGTGTGGCCGACGCTCCAGTAGCCGCTGCTGCTGTCAGAGAGCTCGCCGCCACCACAGTCCATCGGAGGAGCTGAAACACAAAATACAGCGTTTACTGTTTATATAGAAGAATTTAAACATGAATTAAAACTTAAATCAATTGAGGCCATTATATTAATTAATTAATGCCTCAATTAATTTCAAATATCATGATTTTGAGTCATTGAGTTTTTCTTTCTTTCTTATTCATTTTGGAAGTTTCTTCTACAGAAACAACATCATGAGACACGAGAGGTAAAACTCCTGATTCTGTCTTTACTGTTGTCCTTGGCTGTCGTACCTGGCGGCTCTGGATTGGCCGAGCTGTGCAGCAAAGGGCTGCAGGACAAACTGCTGAGAACCATCGCCGCCATCAGCTCGTCCATGTCCACGTCCTGTGGACTCCTCTGGCTGCAGGACGAGAGGAAACTGAGTTAGAGTCTGTTTGTTGGACTGTGTGAGGAGACACTCAGGGACACAGAGAAGACGTCTGACCTCCTGGGGACGTCGATGCAGGATGAGACACATCTGCTGCTGGACGGAGGCACTGACCACACAGAAACTTCACTCTTCATCAGGTCCGGCTGATCCACCCGACCTGGAGACTCACCTCCTCCTCCTCCTCCGCACTGAAAATACACCTGGAGGACAGAAACACCACGGCTCAGTGTGATTGGCTGAGACACCCGTCAATCAAAGCTGCACCGGGCAGAAACACCCGACGCTTCCTGTTCTCACCTTCAGTCCGGGGTGACGTCTGACTCTGCTCACGGCCTGTGGTCCTGCTGCTGTTGCCATGGCGATGCCAGTCTCACCTGTCTCCAGGTTAGTGAGGTTCCCGGCCGTCGTGCAGGTGGAGCTCACCGACGCACCAAATGGAGAACGCTTCCCGAGGCGGGTCTTTGGTAACATGTCCGTCTGTCTGCGTGAGATTCAGAGAAGGTCAGACGCTGTCATGCTAACATGCTAACAGTGACGGAATGTTTACCACCTCGGTTTGCTGAACATCACTGACCTCCAGCCCGGAGCTGTTGCCAGATAAGGAACATTGAAGTTTCGTACCAGAAGTTTGAAAATGATCGTTCAGAGTAGAGATGGGACGTTTCAGTGAATGCGTAAACACAGAAATGATCCATGTTTCTCCACCCAGATTACAAAAGTGTCACAGGTGTCGTACAAATACGATAATTATCCTGCAACCAGCAACTCTGCAGCTGAGGCCCATAGTAACATCATGAGTTCTGAACATGAGCGTCTGAACCAGAGGTTTGTCTCTGAGACACTCTGGTCTGAACCAAAGTGGAGGACAGATCGTCTTAAAGACCCTCGCTGCTGATTGGACTAAACACACTGGTGAACGGTCACAACATGAATTCAATTGAATGTGCATGTCCACATCCCTCCACTAGAGGTCAGTAAAGTTAAAAAGTCACGACGACAACTGAAGAAGTTCTCAAGACAAGTTGTGGAACGTCACATCACTGACACTCTTTGGACTCTGCTCCTTTAATTAGTTCCTCAT